CGACCTTTGAAGTGACAGAACACAGTTTTCGCCCTATGGGGATTTCTATAGTTAAGCACCCCAAGGTGGCTCACTTCGACGCGGTAAAATTATAGTAGGGTGCACTAGAGTAACACGGCCAACTAGTACATCTACAAAATAATAGAAAACAAAAAAGTTATGTTTTTAACGTGACGACCTCTTTTATTTGGCCACCTGTGGAGGTCAAAGGAACTGCAGGCGGCTCACCATGGAACGCAGTTGCGTAATGCGGCGCATTTATACACGAACAGGGAAATCTTCACAGTATGTATCTTGTACACTGTAACAGATTATACAGTGTACAAGCCGATGCATTACTATACAACACAGCTCAGTTTACTCCTGGTTACATCTCACATAAGTCGCTTGGTTCAAGGAGCTTTTATCACAGAATAATGCCCTTGCTTGATTCAATAGTTCTGCCCGCACTACTTTCTATACCCACGCCCATTAATACTGTGTTCTCCGACCTTGACATTAAACAATACCATGACCTTTGACCTAATGAATATTAATTAGTAGTAGCGTGGGTTATGGCCGGCCGGTGTGTCACGACTTCGGGAGTGAGGAGCGAGTGTTGTTTATAGAGTCAGTGTTGACCGATAGAGGACACAGATGAAGTAGCCAACGCCACAAGATTTGAAGATCCATATTTCGTCTTCCATGCCCACAGGTATCTTGTTATTTTTTTTCATTCTCGGTATTTAAAAAAATGCTGCGTTGTTTACAGCATTTAGTATCCAGGCCCTGGCGGTCACGGAGCCTTATTCACGTAGATATGCTTCCCGATTCTCCCTATCATAGTCCCTCTTCCTGAAAGCAAAATCAGTGACTTGTTGGAATGTACAAATTATTATCGTGATTGCTTTGACAGTACTATGTTGTTTATTTCGACGTTCTTAGATTTGGAACGTTTAATACCTCCATAATACGATATCTTCGAAAGTTCGTTTTCTACCGTAAATACTCATGAATGCATGATATTTACTCAAAAGGGAAAAGGTACCCATACACAAATCTCACAGAAAATGTGCGTTTGTGGCTTCGCAAATTCGTCTTTTTTGCTTGATATATGATAGTTTGGTGTGAAGTTTGCGATTTGACCCAAAATGGTGACGTTCCCGATCGCGCGTTGTTGGCCCAAAATGGTGACGTTCCCGATCGCGCGTTGTTGGCCCAAAATGGTGACGTTCCCGTTGCGCGATGTTGGCGCGAAATGGTGACGTTCCCGTGCTTGCCATTTGGGAGCTGAGTAATGAAAACACATGCGCGCACTGTCGCTCTAGAGTGGTGAATCTCCCGTACGGGAGTCCGTGGCTCCACGTGGAGAGTTTCCCGCGCGGGAACTGTGCCTCATACATGGCACAGTTCCCGCACGGGAAACTCTCCACCTCCCGTACCTCGGCTTACCTGCTAACATATAATGATCAAAGAGCTGTTTGATGTAGAAAAGTAGAAAAAAAAAGAGATT